AATTTTCATTTATAAACTGTCAATTTTTACAATTTTTCGATTAATCGATGTTTTGATTTTCCCATTTCTTGACTTCCGAGGGTTTCCATATTCCTGTTCTTCAATTCTTTAATTTTTCGATTTTTCAGGTTTTTGATTTTTCATTTTTTAGTTATTTAGGGTTTCGATTTTTCGACTTTACTTTTTTGATTTTTCGATTCCTCAATATTTCGACTTTTTAGGTTCTCAGTTTTTGGATATTTCAGTTTTTCGATATTTCAGTTTTGGGATTTTTCAATATTTTGATTCTTCGACTTTTCGATTTTTGGCTTCTGGAGTTTTCGAAGTGCGGATTTTCTTACTTTTTCGATTTTTCAATTTTTCGATTGCTTAATCTTTCGATTTTTCGACTTCCCGGTTTTAGATTTTCTGTTTTCAATTGTCGTTTTAATTTTTATTATTTTTCAACGTTTTGATTTCCCGATTTAGTTCCCCATTTTTAGTTTTTCTTTCAATTTTCAGTTTTTCGATATTTCAGTTTTGGGATTTTTCAATATTTCTTTTGTTCGACTTTTCGATTTTTGACTCCTGGATTTTTAGATGTGTCGATTTTTTTTACTTTTTTAATTTTTAAATTTTAGATTTTTAATTTTTAAAATTTTAGATTTTTCGATTTCTCGATTTTTTATTTCAGTTCTTCGATATTTCTATTTTTTCCAGGTTTTCGGATTTTTCAAATATTTCGATTTCTTATTCTTTTGATTTTTCGACTTCCCGGTTTTAGATTTTCTGTTTTTCAATTGTCAATTTGTCAAATTTTCGATTTTTTAATTTTTCAAATTTCACTTTTATAAACTCAATTTTTCGATTTTTCAATTAATCGATGTTTTGATTTTCCCATTTCTTGACTTTCGAGGGTTTCCATATTCCTATTCTTCAATTCTTTAATTTTTCAGTTTTCAGGTTTTTGATTTTTCATTTTTTAGTTTTTTTAAGGTTTCAATTTTTCGACTTCAGTTTTTGGATTTTTCGATTGCTCAATTTTTCGACTTTAGGTTCTCGATTTTTGGATATTTCAGTTTTCGAATTTTCAGGTTTTTCATTTTTCAGTTTTTTTTTCAATTTTTCAGTTATTCGATATTTCAGTTTTGGCATTTTTCAATATTTCGGTTCTTCGACTTTTCGATTTTTGGCTTCTGGAGTTGTCGATGTGTCGATTTTTTTACTTTTTCGATTTTACAATTTTTCGATTGCTTAATTTTTCGATTTTTCGACTTCCCGGTTTTAGATTTCCTGTTTTCAATTGTCGTTTTAAATTTTTCGATTTTTCAATGTTTTGATTTCCTGATTTAGTTTCCCATTTTTAGTTTTCCTTTCATTTTTCAGTTTTTCGATATTTCAGTTTCGGGTTTTTCAAAATTTCGATTCTTCGACTTTTCGATTTTTGACTCCTGGATTTTTCGGTGTGTCGATTTTTTACTTTTTCGATTTTTAATTTTTAGATTTTTTAATTTTTAAAATTTTAGATTTTTCAATTTACCGATTTTTCATTTCAGTTCTTCGATATTTCAATTTTTCCAAGTTTTCGAATTTTTCAAATGTTTGGATTTCTTAATCATTTGATTTTTCGACTTCCAGGTTTTAGAATTTCTGTTTTTCAATTGTCATTTTGTCAAATTTTCGATTTTCTAATTTTGCAAATTTAACTTTTAAAAACTCTCGATTTTTAGAGTTTTCAATTAATCAATGGTTTGATTTTCCCATTTCTTGACCTTCGAGTGTTTCGATTTTCCTGTTCTTTAATTTTTTGATTTTTCAGGTTTTTGATTTTTCAATTTTTCGATTTTTAAGGTTTCTATTTTTCGACTTCACTTTTTTGATTTTTCAATTTTTCAGTTTTTAGGTATTTCAGTTTTAGGATTTTTCAATATTTCAATTCTTCAGCTTTTCTATTTTTGACTTCGGGATTTTTCGATGTGTCTACCTTTTTACTTTTTTGATTTTTCAATTTTTGGATTTTTAAATTTTAGATTTGTCAATCGTTTCTTTTTCGAATTTGACTTTTATAAACTCTCAATTGTTCGATTTTTCAATTAATCAATGTTTTGATTTTCCCATTTCTTGACCTTCGAGTGTTTTGATTTTCTTGTTCTTCAATTCTTTAATTTTTTGATTTTTCAGGTTTTTGATTTTTGGATTTTTAAGGTTTCTATTTTTCGATTTCACTTTTTTGATTTTTCGATTTTTCTGTTTTTAGATATTTCAGTTTTAGGATTTTTCTATATTTCAATTCTTCGGCTTTTCTATTTTTGACTTCTGGATTTTTCGATGTGTCAATTTTTTACTTTTTCGATTTTTAAATTTTTAATTTTTTAATTTTTAAAATTTTAGATTTCTCGATTTTTCATTTCAGTTCTTCGATATTTCAATTTTTCCAAGTTTTCGAATTTTTCAAATGTTTCTATTTCTTAATCTTTTGATTTTTCGACTTCCCGGTCATTTTGTCAAATTTTCGATTTTCTAATTTTTCAAATTTGACTTTTATAAACTCTCAATTTTTCGATTTTTCAATCAATGTTTTGATTTTCCTATTTCTTGACCTTCGAGTGTTTCGATTTTCCTGTTCTTCAATTCTTTAATTTTTTGATTTTTCAGGTTTTTGATTTTTTTAATTTTCGATTTTTAAGGTTTCTATTTTTCGACTTCACTTTTTTGATTTTTCGATTTTTCAGATTTTAGATATTTCAGTTTTAGGATTTTTCTATATTTCAATTGTTCGCCTTTTTTATTTTTGACTTCTGGATTTTTCGATGTGTCTACCTTTTAACTTTTTTGATTTTTCAATTTTTGGATTTTTAAATTTTAGATTTTTCAGTCTTTTGTTTTTCAAATTTGACTGTTATAAACTCCCAATTTTCCGATTTTTCAATTAATCAATGTTTTGATTTTCTCATTTTTTGACCTTCGAGTGTTTCGATTTTCCTGTTCTTCAATGATTTTTCGATTTTTAAGGTTTCTATTTTTCGACTTCACTTTTTTGATTTTTCAATTTGTCAGTTTTTAGATATTTCAGTTTTAGGATTTTTCAATATTTTAATTCTTCGGCTTTTCTATTTTTGACTTCGGGATTTTTCGATTTTTCAATTTTTGGATTTTTAAATTTTAGATTTTTCAATCTTTTCTTTTTCAAATTTAACTTTTATAAACTCTCAATTTTTGGATTTTTCAATTAATCAATGTTTTGATTTTCCCATTTCTTGACGTTCGAGTGTTTCGATTTTCCTGTTCTTCAATTCTTTAATTTTTTGATTTTTCAGGTTTTTGATTCAAGTTTTCGATTTTTAAGGTTTCTATTTTTCGATTTCACTTTTTTGATTTTTCGATTTTTCAGTTTTTAGATATTTCAGTTTTAGGATTTTTCAATATTTCAATTCTTCGGCTTTTCTATTTTTGACTTTTGGATTTTTAAATTTTGGATTTTTCAATATTTTGATATTTTAATTTTTCAGTATTTCTTAATCTTTCGATTTTTCGACTACCTGGTTCTGTTTTTTAATTTTTCGATTTGTTAATTTTTCATTCCCGATTTATCGAGATTTGGTTGTTCAGGTTTTCGATTTATCAGTTTTTCAATTTTTTATTTTGGGCTATTTCGGTTTCTTAGTTTTTCCAGTTTTCCATTTTTTCGTTTTTTGATTTTTCCGCTTTTCCAGTTTTTCAACTTTTAACTTTTTGTTTGTCGATTTCTCTATTTTTCGATTTTTCGACTTCATCACTTTTCGATTTCTCGTTCTTTTGATCTTTCAGTCTCTCAATTTTTCAATTTTTCGAATTTTTAATTTTTTTGATTTCTCGATTCATCGAGATTTGGATTTTTCGATATTTTGATTGTCAATTTCTCAATTTATAAATTGTTGTATTTTAACTTTTCGATTTTTCGATTTTGGCCTATTTCGGTTTCTCAATTGTTCGACTTTACGACTCCACGATTTCTTGATCTTTTGATTTTTCGATTTTCCAATTTTTCGATGTTTCGATTTTTGAGTTATCCGATTTTTTGAATTTGGAAGTTTCAATTTCTCGATTTTTCGTTATTCGATTTTTAAATTTTAGATTTTTGAATTTTACATTTTTTCGATTTTCAGTTCTTCGATATTTGCATTTTTCAATGTTTCGGTTTTACGATTTTTTAAGGTTTTGTGTTTCCAAAACATTTTTCCGAAAAAAATCCATTGAGTTATTACGATTTCAACAATATTCTTAGTTTAAGACGTTTTGCTAGTATAAAACACAAATAAAGAATTAATTCTTAGTTAAACAAAATATGTAAAATCATCTAAATATGTACCAAAAATATTCACTTTGTCGTTATAAAAACCGACCAAACAACTATTTCCCGCAGAAATTATAGTCCAAACCAACCAAATCGCTTCTGAACGCTTAGAGTCGACATTGGCCTGAGCGCCGTCTGGTCTGTAGATCAAACAATTTCTCAAACGACGAGTTGTAGTGAAACAAGTTTTTTTATTGGCATCGACTATTTAAATTTGGCGCTTGAGGACTCCAATGTCAATAAGGGTGGTTTTGCAAAATCAGCCTGTATGTCTCATCTACATTAATCTATGGTTTATACATCTATCTAGTTCAGTGGTATGTAATTTTCGGGCATTGTTATTCAATATTTTTCTTCTTAAATCGATACAGAGTTCTTTGTTGCGTGCTCTAAATTACACGTTTTGACGCTAAATACATAGGGGTGTTGCCACGATGAAATATCCATCACGTGGTTAACCGTACCGTAAAATTCCCATTCCCCCCGATTCCAAAAAAATACACAGGTCATTCCTACAAAAGGACTTTTGTTCCATGTTTAATTGCACTTATTGTCGTATCGCATGCCAACCCCCCACTTTGCGTCCTAAACGCCGCGCCACTTTTTTACGGCCGTCGAAAATTATCTGCATCCGTGCGGACCCTCGACCCTTCCAAACCTATTCAAGACCGTGTCTCTTTTGTTTCAGTCGAAAGCGGCCTTCTAGTCATGATGAGGTGAAGTAATCTCGAGGATGCTCATCCGGCTGAACCGAGGTGGCCCACGGCGGGCCGCCTTCTACGCCATCCTTCTACTATTTGTGGCCGCCATCCTACTCCGCATCGGTATCCTTTGCCTAACTGAGGACGAGCCCGCATCGGCGATGCTCTCGCCGAATAAGTACGTGGTGGGCCCGGACCACAAAGCGTACGAGTACAACCGCGACATGCCGCTTATCTTTATAGGCGGTGTGCCGCGATCCGGCACGACTCTCATGCGTGCCATGCTAGACGCCCATCCGGATGTGAGGTAAGAACTTTGGACGCGTTATTAAATTCGGGCCCGGCCCCGACTTCCTAATTTAATGGGCTGGGGGCTGGGTTCGGTGTCTTGAGATTTGAATGGAAGTGGAGGTGCGGCGACGAGGATTTTTGCCAAAAAGAGGTGTGTGTCTAGCTAAAGCATTAGTTCTGGCAGAGCTAATATAAAAAGAAATATGTTGGCGAGGATTTAGTCGTGGTATAGTATTTCCACCGATAGATTAGCTGACAGAAAAGTCACCAAATAGACCGCTATAAAAAGTAGTGCCAAAGGCGCTTTATTTGAAATATAAGTAGATTCGAAAATAATGTTGAACTACGTAAAATTACTTTTAATAATAACACAATATATTTCCAACAGACAATATTATCAACACTGGAATATACATTTCGAATAACATTACGTACTTTATATTGAATTAACAACCTCTGTAGGGCATCTTAAATTAAAATTTTCCTTCTTGAAAAATGAATACGCATTGGCAATCATTTTCTGTGCCAGGATGTTGTCAACAACAGTCATATTGCACCGGGTTGAAGAGGGCTACAAAATGTAATGGTATATAATTATTGCACAGAATAAATCAACAACACACTCTTGCGTAATTATGAATTTTATTCGTAATGTCTTCCATGGGGTCCATATGAAACGTTTTTTGACACAAACAACTTAACCTAAAATGTCCAAACTTCAGCCACTATACAAAAAATAGCACAAAGGTCTATAATATCATACCTAACAAATCAAAGCAAGTACAAAAACACAAACACTAAACGCAAAAAACACACTTTTTAACTTTTTGAACCAAAATTTTAAATTAACGTCAATCAGTTGATCGTTCAAAACACAGGTTAAACGAAACCGGCCGACTGGCGCAGGCATAGAGGCGTAGGAAATTCGTTGCGCGGGAAAAGAAACGTTGGTTGCCAACTTAAACTACAACTCTTTAACAACTTTAACCGTATAATGTTAGTATATTTTGGATTCTCCGATTGGCGATTGTGAATTCAAAATTTTCCAATCTATCGCTGGAAATAGTATACAAGAAAATTAATTTTATCCAAGAGCACGGAACAGTCAGTTCTGTTATGACTGAGATTATATAAGAAACGAATTAAGAGCATATTTCGTCTAGCATGCGGTGATGTAAAATTAAATCTCTTCAAAAGATCTAAATACTCTACACCACGTGGGGGATAGACACCGACTTGCGATGGATTGCGTATATAGGGTACCAAATAACTGCTCCGTACTCCAGTCTTATCTCACCAAAGAAAAAAATAATATGATAAGTAGAGAGCGGATTTATAAGCACAAATAAGCATAACACTTTCATTAAAAAAGTTTTATTTTAAGCAATAAAGCATTAAAAACATAATCATTTTACAAATCAAAGAACACTTCTTAGAACTTTGGATAAAATATTATTACAATAATCCTAGACTTTATATTTTACACACGTATTTCAGTTTTCTTTAAAACAATTTATGATTGTAATATGTTCCAAGTTGTCCACTGCAAAATTTTTTCGCCGATCATTTAAAATGTGTTTAAAATTGGAGAATGTGCGTTCAACATCCACACTCGTTGTTGGCGCAAATTTGAATTTTGCAACTAATGTTGAATCTAACTCCAAATTTTCCACCTTCTGGCCTTGTAAAACACGAGCAACGTCGGAAAGAACACCGAAACCTGCATGTTTATTTAACACTTCGTTAAGTTTTTGAGATACTCTAGTACCAATATCACCCCTTAGTGCGTTTGCTTGTTGTTTAAATTCTTTCACTAAGTTTATGGCATCTACCAACAACATGTTGGGTTTTTCTAACTTTTCTATTACCTCACATACGAATTGATAATTGCTTCTTAGAAAAGCTAGATCTGGTCGCAAATCTTTGTTTTCCAAAATATTTATGCAATCTTTAATCGATTGAGAAGAATCTTCGCTAAACTCCGTAACTACTTCCTCAAATTCTTTGATATATTTGTCATAATAAAATGTGGCCTGTAACCATGTTCCCCACCTCGTTATAATCGGCTCTGGGGGCAATGGTATGTTTGGACATTTTTCCTTAAAATGTTGCACTCTTAGTGGAGCTTTACCAAAAATCTTTTTACCATTTGCCACTAATTTATTAACAGTAGGAAACTGCAAACGTATTCCTTCAGCCACTTTGTTTAAACCGTGGGCAATGCAAGTAGAGTGAATTAAATTGGGGTACAATATTTTTAGATTATTCCCTGCTTTCAACATATAACGAGCTGCATCCGAGATCATCAATGAAATTTTATTTGGCAAAAATAGTGACGTAAGACTGTCACCTACAAATCTGGTAATCGTATTGCCATTTGTTTTATCTAACATTTTCAAACTTACTATATACCCTCGACTAGGGAAATTTTCATTTAAGATTCCAACAATTAAACTTGCCACGTATCTTCCACAACTATCGGTTGTTTCATCGACAGCGAACCATAAATAATTATCTCCAATGCGATGTTTAATTTCGTCGTAAACTTGCTGAAACACTGGGCCTACATAATTTTTTCGGAGAGTACTTTCAACCGGAATATGTCGATTGCAGTGTTTTTCAAGGAATTCTTGAAGAGGGCCTTTCTCCAATTTTTTTAAAGGTATATTGGACTGGATCATCATTTTACATAAACCGAAATTAAACTGAAACTGCTCATCTTTTGTGGAAGTAGATGCAACAGATTCATGTATGGTCTGCTGTTTAATTTTAGAAACTTCAAACATTTTCTTCCTTTCTACATGAAGAGTCATTCTGACATGTTGCGTCACGTTATATTTTTTATCACTGTGAATCTAAAACAACGTACATATACAGAATTAACAAAGGAAAATAGATAAAAAAAAAATTAGTGGGCTTACGGTTTTCACACAAGCTTTGCAGAATATTTTGTTGTTTTCTAATTTTAATTTTGGAAAATCCCTTATCCACTCATCCGGCGACGATTTTACTTTCGGCATTCTTTTAAAATATTAGTAATATTACCAAAAAGAACTCAACATGTAACAAGGGAGAACCACGTATCACACTACTACGACAGGTGCGATAGACTGATGGTTGTGAAATAAACGGTTCATTTACTTAAAAGTTTCCATTAGAACAATTTTAAGGTAGGTAGTTGGCTACAATAATCCTTTTTTCTAGAAAATCTTCAACGGTCTTGTCCCAAAATGCCGAAAAAGAACATCTGGTTAAAAGCTTTAATTCATTATCAACGGAAGTAAGGATTTAAAGTCATAAAATCTATGGAGTATTTTTCCAATCCTATAATAAAATTTTATTACCCAAACGACCGGAACCTATTCACAGAAAGGGTCTTAAGTAAGTGTACTTCAATGGTCAAGTCCAGGTAAAATGCATACGCTACGATAGGCTAACTAACAAGTATTTGTCATCCCGACAAGTTCGGCATTTGAATAAAATATGCATTAAAACTCATATTCGTCGAAAAAAGCATTAAATAAGCATAAAAGTTTTAATATGCATAAAATTGAAAAAAAAGCAAATAAGCATTAAAAAAAATGTGTCAAATGACTCCAAATTGTATTACAGATATAAAAAAGTTTCGAAGTGCTTACATTTTTCACAAAAAGCATTAAACCTAGAAATCCGCTCTCTAATGATAAGAGTTCGCTGATTCAGAAATTCTCTACAATTGCGATAAATAAAATCATACGTCTTGTAGGCCTTAGCAATAATTTCTTTATAATGATTTATAAAATAAAATTTGCTGTCAAAACTGATATCTAATTCTTCGATGCAGTCAAGTTTTTCCAATACGACGCCTTTTAAATTATAGTCAAAACAATGGTGATACATTTTCTTGTGTAAGAAACAACTTTGCATTTAGAGATATTCAACATTAATCTATTTCGAATACACCAATGGTAAAGCAAAATTAAGCAAAACTGAAGATACGAGTAGTAACAATCATTAATAGAATTATTTTCCATGTATAATTTGAGATCATCAGCCCACATAAGTTTATTGGAGGGAATAGCATCAGGAAGATCGTTAATAAAGTGCAAAAACAACAAGAGTCATAAGTGCGATCCCTGTAGTACCCCAGAAAATAAGAGATTAAAAGTTTCAATAACAGATTTGTGAAGCCAATATTACAGAACGTTTGCAATAATAAACAATGATCTATTTTATCAAAAGCTTTTTCAAAATCAGTATACCGGGTGTCTGGAAAATGATGATTATGATTTAGATTACGAAAAAAACGTGTTTTTTTAAAGTAAAATTGGCAACACTGGACGCACCTAATGCATAGTAACGATGGTGACTGAAATCCACCTTTAATTTTTTTAATCATAACAGTCAGTAGTCATTAATCGTTGTACATTGTTATTAATTAATAAATCAAGCTATTTTTCATTAATAAATAAACCAAAAAAAATTTAGTAAGACATTTATAAATTTTAAACAAAAACGAAACCAACAAAAGAAAAATCCATTAAACCAGCAGAACACTAGAGAAGATGTTGAAATTTCTTGCCTTGTGCATGTAAGTAAGCTCGTAATGTTTCCAAATTTTGATCATTTTTTGTAAAAGTTAGTCATCAATTCCTGTTAAGACAAAACTGATTTTGGCATATGATATACCTTCTACGAAAAGAGAGGGTGGGTGGGCGGGGCTAGTAGCTGCCAAGGTAAGACTGATTTAGGCAAATGAGATACTCTAAGGGAATAGAGGGCGGGCATCTGAGGCTAGTACCTGCTAAGATAAGACTAATTTTAGCAAATGACGTATCTTCTAAGACATTTAATTAAATTATTATAAGAAAAGACACTAGAGGCTCCAAAGCACTTTCAAGTTCTTTCCAAACAGGAATACCTAGAACCTCAAGATTGTTTTAAATTTTTCAAAAAAAAAATAGGGTCTCGAAATTAATTCAGAAACAGGTCTGGTTAAAATGTCCCAAAAATAGAACACCAAAGTCCCCCAAAATT